CACACACACACACACACACACACACACACACACACACACACAAACAAACAATGCAAGGCTGGCCACATTTGTGTGGTTCAGCGCCCATTACCCACACACCCGTCTGCCGCCAAAGTGGCACACTTGCACATATACATATGTATACATATACATTTCATAGTCCATAAGGGAACGGAGGGCAGAAGGCAACTTACCTAAGACAGAAGACTGCTCCAGCACGAAGGCACCGACCCGACCTCCTCAAAGGTCCAAAAAAACTTAGAGAGCCTTCCGCATCGGCCCACAAAACCAAAAACAAACAAATATAACAGCATTGGCATTCCTGACATTCGTCTCAAACTACACACTCGCATCACTGCCAAAGAGGAGAAAGAAGATAAGAGACAACTTACCTAAGACAGAAGACTCCTCCAGCAAGAACGCACCGGCCCGCCCTGCTAAGGGTCTGAAAAAACGGGGAAAGCCCTCCACGCCGGCCCACAAAACATACATTCCCCCCAAAGAGAACTCGTGGCCACAAAACATACATTTCCCATCGTGGTTTGATATCCACCACGACATCGACCTTGGGAGCGTGATGAATTGCGAGCTTGCATGTTTGACGATTGGGCATTAATCGGGCGAGATCATTGCATGAAATTGCTGAGGTCATTTATTGGCATGAAGGCAAGCACATTACAAAACATTCATGTTGCATAACGTTGCAGCCTCTGACAAACCTCTCATCTCTTTTGACCTGCAGATATGTTGAGCAGAATGACATTCACACCCCCTTTGCCACAGTTCGGGAGTCTTTGGAATTCAGTGCAACACTTCGCCTGCCAAGAGGGACACCAGCAAAAATAAGGCGAGACTATGTTAAAGAGGCAAGTTGCATGGCCAGGACGCTTACTATTTGTTGACTCTTTCTGTTTAGTCTGCCCTAATCTGTCTTTAGTTTTAGATCTGCAGTGCCGATGGGCATAAAAGTACGCCGCTTGGATGTATATCTTGTAACTACCTTCTTAGCCCGGAAAAAGGTCGGTACATTGTAATGATTGTATAGAAATAGGACGTACGGGGTAGATTATATTCGAATACAATGTACGTACGTTGAGTAACCAATTTGGGGGTACCACCAGTGCTGTAGTACCCCTTGCAGTGTTGTTGGCTGGGCAGTCCTCTTTAGAAAAAACTGCTACAAGGCATCATGTGTTGGCAGGGCAAAGCATTGTTTTTTTTTTGTTGTTGTTGTTTTTGTTTTTTCATAAAACAGGTCCCTATGGCCCAAGCTCCATTTCCATTCTGGGGAGCATCAGTCCGGTTCCTATTCCACCGGAAAGTCCGAACAAAGTATTATATCATGAAACACACTCAATGCTTCCTTCCGTCTGGCCGAAGGAACCCTGCCCAGCATTGATTACTCCAGCATCGTGGAGGATTGACTGTCAGCTTGCCTTACTTCCACCTTCCCTCTCAGGTCCACTGTATGAGCCTGTCACATAAATGATAAAGAGCAAGGAAGGTAAAACAAACTAAGGAAGATGACTCTCGGAATTTGCCCTTCGGTATTACATGGCCTGTGATGGATCTTGTCCGTCTGCTGGCTGGTATCTCTGCCATCTCCACCCTGCTTCTGAGTTGTGCCAGTCTTTCCACGTCATCTGGCATAGATTGTCTTGTCTTGTGCCGCTTACAAAGAATCTCTGCCTGAATCAAAGTTCTCGTCTCCGCCCATACCTTCTCCCTTGGAGTCAAGATTCCCTCAAGGGTTCTGCAGCACCTTTCCTTCCAGATGGCCCACAGCGTTACCTTTCTGATCATTCCGAACCACGTTTTCTCTGTCATGTGGAATTGAGCTGGGATGTTAGTCCATAGGAGGAGTTGGATGGGGTGTTCAGGGAGGGAAGTCGAGAAGAGGGAATCCCAGAGATCTGAGGCGCTCGCCCAATATTCCGTCGCCTCTCTACAGCATATCAGGCAGTGTAGCATGTCTTCTGGTTCATTTTCTGAGCATACCGTACATAAATCTGAACTGTTGGGGTCATTCTTACTTCTTCTGATATGCAGCCACTGGTTAACCGGTAGAGCCACATATGAAATGTGCCGTTGGAGGCTTCTGATTTTGACCGGACGGATTGACTTGAAAATTTTCAATGGTATTTGTGGGATCTGACTAGCGTCCTGACCTATTAACTTCTTCCATCTTTTCTTGATCGTTGGGTCGTGATCCTTTCTTTTGAGGAGTAAGTTGTATCCCAGTTTGACAGTGTATTCCTGGATTGGGATATTCATTTTGAGACTTCTGCTTCTGTCTGGTGTCCAAGCCCACTCTGCTGGATCGAATTCCAGGTCTTGAATCGCCGTATCTATTCTGAAGATTGTCTTTGGCCATGATCCCAACACTCTTACTTTTCTGAGAACAAAAGGGTTTAGGACTGTTCTTTCCACCTCCTTCTTCAGGATAGATGGGAGGCCTTGCGTGGAGGGTGTGATTGGGAAAGAGGTAACTACAGCCAGGGTATCCGACCCTTGCTGTTTGTGGGAAAATTGATAGGCCCTTGAGGGGGTTAAATCCTGCACCCTCCCTCCCCATTCACCCAATTTCCAGGTTGAGGCTTCGCTCAACAACACCTTCCAACCTTCTGGGATGCAGTTAATAATGGATTGTAGATTCTCGTCTCGTCGGTGACATCCTTTGAGCTGGGAGGCAAGTTCCTGTTCTGTCACCCAGTCCTTCTTCTCCTCGTTCCAGAGATGGCTCACTTTTCCAAACTCAGTGTTTGATCCACGATAGCCATCTCCTTCCTCTAGGGTTAAGGGATAGCTGGCGATCACTTTCGTCTCTCACCCACGGATTGCCAAACAGGGGTTGCCTCAATATCTCATCCTTGGATTCGGGTCTACCCACCTTCTTCGGCATGATTTCCCACCATATCCGAAGCAATGCAGTCCAATATGGTGTGTGGGGCTTGGCTTCGTTAGACCGCTTCCTCTTCGTAGATTTCTGCACCCTGTACTTGGGCTCCATTCCTTGGTATTACCCAGAACAGACCAGACATGTTTGCTTGTGAGACTGTCGGTGTTTGGCCTCTTATGCTATCCAAGGCCAGTTTATTCCATGCCGTACCAGGTTTAGTCAGTAGTTTGACTATGCATTTACCTTGTATGGCTTTGGTTTCCTGTTTGGGGTCTATGATACCAAGACCTCCTCTGGCTGGTTTCCTTGTGATGCAATGCCAGGCTATCTTTGGTATACATTTCTCTTTGTCGGGATCTCCCGACCACAAGTACGCTCTTGCTTTGCGGTTAAGTTCCTTGATTGTATGGTGCCATATACCACATCATTGAAAAAATAGGAGAGGCGGTTAATGAAAGACCCAAAATTCGGCGAATTTTGGCGAATTTTTCAGCGAAACTGCCATATTTCCATTGCTTGTAGCAACGCGGCGAAAAACCCCGAATTTTTGGCCTTCCATTAACCGCTAGTGTCAGGGTGTGTGGCGCTGCAGCCATAGCTGCAGCTATCTTCCTCAGAGATCATCTTTGTCAGGAGTGGTGGCGCTGCTTCAGACTTCCACCCGGGAAGTCTTCCGGCACTTCATCATCATCAGACACTGTGGCGCTGGCTTCTTCTTCATACTCTGAGAAGCGCTTGGCCTCAGAGGCCTGTTTCAGGGTGGCGCTCCCCTCTGGAGGCAGTATCTGGGTGGCGCTTGATGTTTCAGGGCCTCAGGGGTAGTTACAGTGGTTACTCAGGGTTGGGGAGTGAAGCGCTGCTCGCACCATGGTTCTGGGTTTATTCTGACAAATCTGCAATGACTTGCTGATTTCGACTGCCGAGACTGACCGCGAGGTTGTACAGTGTACCGCTGTGTGTGTGCTGTGTGCTTTGCTGTGTTTTTTTTGTTTGTACTGAGGGCCGCCCGCTGTTCTAAAAATAGCTTAGACTAACAGCAGTAGGGGCTGAGTGGTTACCGGCCCTAAGTGGCCCTGAGCCCTAAGTGCAGCAGTAGGACCGATTTTGTAGAGGCCGAGTAGGCCCTAACTGAAACGGTACCGGTAGGCTCTAGGCTAGGATAGGGTAGAATCTACAAGTAGGTTAGGTGTAGGACTGTTCGGAACTTTTGGCTGTTCATTTTTTCACGACGCAGCGTTTGGGGAAGCCAAGCAAGTTGGCGGTGGCAATTGTCTGCAGGCGGCATCCTGAGACCCTTGCCTGGGACGACAGCCATAGCTGGCCCTTCTGAAGGTTGCCGGAGCTGGGGCACCCTCAGCGCATCTACCCTTGGGGGTATCTGCATCTGGCCAGGCTATATCGAGGCTCCTCACTGAGTGTTTGTGGGTGGCGGCAGCCATAGCTGCCTGGTTCTTCGTCAGAGTTGTTCATCGACACTGAAGACTTCAACGCAGGATCTGTTCTTCATCTGGGTGGTTGGCGCTAGCCTCTGGGAGGCTGTTTTGGTTGTGCGCTGCTAACTGGGTGTAGGATAGAGAGTGGAGTGTGGGGTTCTGAGTGTGGCGAGATACTGGAACAAACTCTGTGACGATATCTGGTTTTATTGGCTCTTCATCAGTCTGTATTCCAACTGTTATCCTCGCAGGTTCTTCTTGTGCTTGGTTGTTGGGAGTCTGTCAGAGAGTGAGGAACACGCAGTGTCTTCTCCCCATCTGTGCATGGCTGTGGTTCTGCTGCCTACTCTGATCTGTGTGCAGTTTGGACTCTGTCTCCTCTCCCCCTTCTCTTATGCATGTATGGGCGTGTATGAGACTGTCTGTGTGTGAGTGGCGATAAAAATCGTCAGACAACCAAGTTCATAACAAATTGAGACTCTGAGTTTAATAAACAGTGTGTATATTGTGTGTAGGCTATCATTGCTTCATTGTTTCTTGGATGTGATCTACTCGGCTTTCCTTTGTGACTGGTTGTGAGGATTCTGCGGAGCGAAGTGCACTGTCAGTGTTCTCTGTCATATCGCATGGTCAAGTCTTCCCCTGTGTTTATCTCTCTGTGCGGTGTCATACTCCCATCCTCTCCCC